CTGCCTCTCACATAGCCATCTTGGAAAGGAAAAGAGGGGCAGACAGATGTGAGGAAAATGACTAGATTTTTGTCTTTTTTGTCATACTTGTTCTGGTGGCAAATGAGGACAAGTTTTGCTCATCCTGTCTTCTTAATCCCCACTCTTGCTGATGTCTCAGAAGGGACTTTAGTTTGTGTTGGTGAAACCCAACAAACTACCCCCCTGCTCTTCTGATTCCTAAAGACTCTTCTGCCCCTCAAGACCTGCTAAAATAGAAAAATACAGTTTTTTCCACCAATATATACATGCTTACTACACTGATGGTCTTGAAGGCAAAATACTAAATACTTGAAAGTATTTACTCAGTTACATCATCTTTACCCACTAACTCCTGTTTCCTTTTCCCTGAGCAACCCATAAGCCTGGCTGTGGTGTCTGTGCCACATGGATCAAAGCATTTTGCAGGAATGTGTAGTTCGATTTTTAACCCTTTTTAGTTGATCTAATTTTAATGCTGCATTTTGTTCCTTTTATATCATCCCTGTGCTATATGAGGGTTTCTAATATATAAATAGACCAGCAGCAAAAATAACTTCTGAAACACAGAAACTATTATCTGGAAAATAACTTTCACATACCCCTGCCCCCAAAAAATCCTCAGTAAAAGAACCACAAAGAAGGCAGAAGGAGAAAAATTTGTTTCTCCAGCCCAGCACTATTCTACCAAAATCCACAGCATCAAATCTATGTAATTTAATGCATGCCTCATTTCAGAAGTTTGAGTGGTGTACTCTGACTCCCACACACACACTTATGCTACCAAGACCTTACTTACGGCTCATGCACTGTTTTTTAAAATATATATTTAAGAGGTTTCTTCTTTCCTGATTGTGACTAGGACAAAACCATCTCTAGGAACATATTAGAAAATTTAGGTGGAGATATGTTTATCATTTGTCTTACTGTTATAAAACAAATATTAGGAGATAGTACATGATTGCAGGTTGAACACTCTCAGCCATGTCCAGATTAAGACATGAGCAGAACAGCATATATCAGGGATAACAAGGTTTAAATCTGCACAAATATTTGCAGCTGCAATACTGAGATTAGCTTTGTTTCCAGTGAGAAGTCTGAACAGCAGACACACCAGGCACTGAAGGAAATTCTTCCAGCCATATCCTGGGCTGCATCAAAAGGAGCATGACCAGCAGGTTGAAGGGGGTGATCCTGCCCCTCTACTCTGCTCTCATGAGACCTCACTTGAAATATTGTGTACAGTTCTGGTGTCCTGAACATGGAAAGGACATGGAACTGTTGGAACAAGTGCAGAGGAGGCTACAAGGATGATCAGGGAACTGGCGCACCTCCCATATGAGAAGAGAAGGCTGCATGGAGACCTCATAGCAGCCTTCCAGTAACTGAAGGGGGCCTATAAGGATGCTGGGAGGGACTCTTCACTAGGGACTATAGTGATAAGACAAGGGGTTACGGGTTAAAACTTAAACAGGGGAATTTTAGATTGGATATAAGGAGGAATTTCTTTACTGTGAGGGTAGTGAGGCACTGGAATGGGTTTCCCAGGGAAGTTGTGAATGCTCCATCACTAGCGGTGTTCAAGGCCAGGTTGGGCAGAGCCTTGGGTGACATTGTTAGTGTGAGGTGTCCCTGCCCATGGCAGGGGGTTGGAACTTGATGATCTTAAGGTCCTTTCCAACCCTAACTATTCTGTGATTCTAAGATTCTATGATTCTAAGTGATAAAGGTTTCAGTAACACTCTACATGGAAAAAATCTGTATTCCATGCACAGAATTTTAATTCAACACCACCACTGTTCCAGTTCTAGTGGTTTTACTCTCTGCAATATATTCTGACATATAATGGCATCAAGCTGTGTCGGGGGGATTTATACTAGATATTTCTTCACCAAGAGGGTGATCAGGTATTGGAACAGGCTGCCCAGGGAAGTGGTGGAATCACCATCCCTGGATGTAGATGCCCTTAGTGACATGGTTTGGTGATGGACTTGGCAGTCCTGGGATAAAGGTTGAACTCTATGATCTTAAAGGTCTTTTCCAACTTAGCTTCTATGAATCTATTATATGAATCTTCAGATCCCAAATAAATAAGCCTTAGGATTTGTACTTGCATCAGAATTGAAAATTAAGTGATATACAGAAAGTTAAGCTTATTTATGGCAACATTCTTTCTCATTTAACAAGAGATGTAGGGAAGCAATTTCACATTTATGTCCTATTGCAAAGGGTTTGGTTAAAGCAGGAACAAAATTAACATATGATTAATGATTTCCTGCCCCAGCAACAATTCCATTTTCCATTCTGAGAGTGGACTATTTCAGGACGCCACTTTGTAAGAGTATTCAGAATTCTGTATTTGCAATGTTAGGTGTTATATTTAAAATTAACACATCAGTTCTACAAGAAAAGAAGCGTTTCTTAAGTGATAATCTGTCTATAGTGAATTCTCTGCTTTATATACAGAAAGTCATAGTACAAGCACAGCATTATAGATTTTTAACAGTCTCTCATAACAGACTACATGGACATGAGGTTGAATAGAAGGATATGTTCTTTGCTGCCTTTTTTTTTTTTTTGTAGGTTCACAATTAGCACTTAAGTTTTCACAGCTTATGTACTTTTTACTACCATTGCTTGGTGATTTGAATAATTTGAGGAGAATTCTTCAAATCCTGAAAATGAACCCATTGGAAATAAAAAGAAGCATTAAGCCTAAATGTAAGATTCCCAAGGCAGAGCGTGGAGTCCTATGGGGCAGAGGAGATAACACTAGTAAACGTCGGTGCAGCACCTTGATGTAGGATGTTGACTTCATTGAAGATTCTCACACTGCTATTGCTATCTGAAAAAAAAAACCCAACCAACAACCAACCAACCAACCCTCAATTTTTAGAGCAAAGTTTCAGTTACTTACAATAGCTCAAAGTTTTAATTTTCCTGTCAAACAACATTGTTGAGGAATAGTCTGATCATGAAGAAGTAGTGCCTACCATTACAGTATAACTTTGAGCTGCTTATGTTTAATAGCCATGACTGAGCAAGTACAAGTTCCTTTTAAGAAGTGACATGTGGAAGCCAAAGAGATCTGGTTTGTACTGTTCCATTCAGACTTCAGCCAACCCAACACAACACTGGAAACTAGAAAGGGCTTGCTAACTTTAAACACTGCTAAATACATATATCAAAGAATTTTAGAAGGCAAAATATGATATTACATTTGCTTTAATTCATCATTCATTAAACCCCCAAAATACTAAGCCCCAAAATGCTAAGACAATGTATCATCATTTATTTGCTTCTTCCCATGATGTAAAACCACAAACCAATAAAATTCTCAAACTCTGACAAAACATTGTCAAAGAGGCTTGCTAGCATTTTTGCTGCTTTAGACATAACAAACTGTTTGCAACAAATACATGGAAATAGTAATTCTTTCCAAAAGAAAATAATTATTTTTCCAAATGGAGGAATCCCAACAAGGAGGTTTGATTTTTTTATTATTTCTTTCCTGCAGAACTCTGAATGGGGTGGTTCCACAAACAATACGTTGCTCAAGCTGAAAGTTCATTTTACTCTTTATCAGCTGGGTAGACTAGAACAAGTTACTTTGGTGTGTAGCAAAGTTTATCACCTAGCACAGGCATCAACTTTTTAATGGAACTTCCTTGGGGTAGGAGAGGTTATTTTTAAAGTTATGTTCTAGGTTTCCAGGGGAACAGCCAGCCACCTGATTCCTGACCTTGCAAAAACCTGCTAACATACAATACAAACTTTCAGAAGTGTTTTTCCTGAGAAAATTCTGCTTTACAAAACCTAGGGAAGGCTTTACAGGAACTAAAATCAGAAAGTTTCTATTACTGAAAGCACAAGTTATGTTTTTCTTGCAAAAGAGTAAGTAGCATGACATCCCAACCATTTGGCCATTTAAATGTGCAAAAACTGATTTATAAGTAAAAAATGTTCCAAAAGTTTGTTACAGAGTTGAGAACATCAAAGCTTTATTTACACATTCACCTAATTTAGCCAAGTGAAAGTTGCAGTTCAACAACTGCAGGTTGGTTGTCCTGTCACAGGATAAAGTGTCACATTCAGATATTCTCCATTTGTCTTGCCTGTGTTTTGTCCCAGAGATCATAAGCAAGTGAAAACATGATCAAAGACAAATTATCCCTTGGGATTTATGCAGGTCAAAATACATATGAAGTCCACAAGAAACCAGAGGAATCATTCTTGAAAGGTGTTTCCTAAGTAAATGACCATCCAATACTTAAGAAGGTTTTAAGGACATAACAGATGCCATTGATTAACTGCAGATAGTTATATATATATATACCCTTGCTTATATTAGTCAATCCAAGGCAGCTATATGCTGTGTTCTCTATGACTATTAATTTTCAGAGAAATCAGAGTTCTTTGATGCTTATTTCATTGACATTTTTGAGGACCTATTGTAGCTACATGTAACACATGCCAACAAATAGAAAAAATCCATGAACCCTTCTGGTCATGAAAAAGTAATTTTATAGCATACGCAGTTCCCTCTTTACAAGCCCTGATGTGGTTAAAAACTAACAGTGAAAAAGAAAAGGAGCCACAGTGTTAAGCACTAGGGAGCATACCTTATATTCACACTTTGCCAAGTCAAGTATCAGAGCAGCTGCTGGGATTGCTCTAACTTGCATAAAACCCATGTCATGTCCTATGGAAAACTCATCTTCTAGGTAGTGCCAAGGTAACAGTCTCCTGGGCTCTTCTTCCAGCAGTTCTCTACATCCAGGGTGCTCAGGAGACACTATTTTTATTTAAACACACACGTTCTACCCTATTTCTACAGTTTAAAATACTTCATATACTGCATGCCTGTATGTGACAGCAACAAATCCTTTGTTTTCATTACTGGGTCTTGCAGTTTACTTGCAACATGTTACATGAGTAAACAGACAGATTTGAGGAAATAGTTTATATAAATGCATGCTTACCAGCTGGTGCAGAATGCGAGCAGTGAAGTTGAAAAGCATGATAACCGGCACACAAATCACTGAATTTGCCTTCTTTAAAATCTGACTTGGAATCCTTTTTGCTCTCAATCTCGTCTGAAGAAAGCTTATCCAGTTCAATTATCACAGCTGACATTGTAATACAGTCTTAGCACAAAAACAAACCGGAAGAAAAGAAGCCACTTTAAGTTCAGCTTCCCCAAACTTGCAGTTTGGGGAAAAATCACTCCTGAAAATTTCCCCTGACTGTATAGTGCAAAAAATTTTAAGTCAATGCCTGAGAAACTGTATTTCCCTGAAGCTGTTCTTCCAGCTCGGTGGCATTTGCTAAATATTGCAGCTCATTTCTAAGGTAGAAAACTATTACTTTAAAAAGCTCTTCTGTTCTTGTAGTGACAGCAAGGCACCTCTGTGTAGCTGCTACAAAAATAACAAGGACAAGTGGAGACATCTGTATGTCTGTTAAGTTGTGGACTTACTAACTTTAAGACTAATTCACATTGTTACCCACTGGTCCAGCTGGGAGGGGCTAAGCAATACCAATGGAAGCAAGTACATCCCTCATGCCAGCCCAGCAGAGCCTGGCAGCTGAACCATGGAAGTTACTTGTGCCACAGTTCTGTTTCCTCAGGGAACACTCGGCTCTTTGTCTGGGATGTGTGCAGCAAGATAAATGACTACAAGCTACATTGTTCCTTGAGAACAAGGAATAGTTCTCAGTTTCTCCGTTTATTATTTCAGAGTCTTGAATCTAAGAAGTTTCTTTTGAGGGAAAACACTGCTAGTAATATTGAGTAAAGTGGTTTAGGCTTTTGAGCTTTTTATTTCCTTAGATACAAATAAACCTCAAAAGAATGAGAGACAAGAAAATGACCCGTTTCTCCCCAGGCTCTGTCCCACCAGCCAGCCGCCAAGTACAATAAGCAGTACCAAGGGAGTCACCCACTGGCGATGGTGGGAAACGCCACAGCCACAGAGCTGATAAAGCATAAATTGTCATTCATGAAAACATGCCACAGAAGAGATTTTAGCAAAAAAGTTGCCAAGGCTTAGCTAGAGAAAAGATGACATCGTGATTTGTCAGCTATTAGCACCCTATCACTTTCTTAGCTTCTCTTTGCTCAGTGCCCAAAAAAAGATGTAAATAATGCAAGAAAAGCCTATGAAGCCATGCAGCTTTTGCTAAAGAGAAAAAATCCAAACACACTAAATTCAGCCTGATAGGAGTGAATTCTCAGGGCTGCCTCTGCTCATGTGAGTCAGGTTTAAACTGAGCTGCTGCTGGTACCCGCAATAATCTCTATGCAAGCAGGGAGCAGGTGGAGATGCCATGTAGAGGCACTGGACATCATCAGCTAAGGACTACCTGTTAACAAATAAAAGGCAATGTTCTAGTGGGACACTTCCTTAGGCTAAGTGAATTTATAGGAGGAAATTTCTAGACAGGTTTCAATCACAGCAAGGAACCCAAGTGAAGTAACAAAGCTAAAGCTAATAAGTAGAGCAACATGGAAAGGGGACTGCACGAAAAAAAAATCAGTCACAGGAGAAACTTTCCAAGGAGGCCAGAAATCCTATCTAGCAGGTGTCTAGTTTTCATTTCACTCCAATTAATGCATGTCAGGAGTAGGAAAAAGGTTGGTGACAGTGCCACAACACTCCAAAAAAATTTAGTAATGGTTATCTAATAGGGAAAGCAAGCAAATGTATAGTGTTTGGAAGGCAAACTGAGCACAGCACACAGCAAGAAAGGAAAAGGAACTAGCATCAAAACAGACTTGCATTGCATCCTTTAAAAATATAAAGACTAGTTATGCCTTTAGTGTTGGCTGAAGTAGTCTGATTTCGCTTTCTGAAAGAAATATCCACCAAATGAAAATGCAGACTGATAAACTTGTGGGGAATTCTATAGGCGGTAGCACTCCTGACAACGTATCTCTAACAACATCGATAGTTTAAATTGCACTTCCCTATTTATAAATGTGCAAAACATGGAGCTGTTACTTAAATAAATCCAGTATACCAAAACTTCTAAAGGAAGCAGGAGCTTAATCCTCTAAAGACAAAGCATTACAAATGCTTAGAGGGACAATCATTCTTCAGTGTCCCAAGAATTGTATACTTTCCTTGTCTTGGTTCTTGTAACTTTTCCTGGATACGTGAGCAATTTCACCTCCTGTACAAATCCTTATCTGAAGATTTTAAGTTTCTCACATGACATTAATCTCAATGTGATTTAGTTTAAAAATCAAGTATCTTATTACTATTGCTGCTGTTACGTTTCCCGTGTAACTGAATATTTAAGTCAGTCAAGGGCATTTTAAGTCTTTGGCAGTCTGTGACAATTTCTTCATTTGTATAAGGGATTTTTTTCCTCCTTAATTTCATGCATATGACAAAAGAGAGAGTACTGTTCCTGGCAATTTAGACCATCCCCAAACTGTTCTATTCTCTATACACATTAAATAGTGCATGCAAAACCCCTGAATTGTCAACAACTGCTGAAGGGTAAGGGCCATCTTTTAAGATGGAGAAGCTGGCAACATATTATAAAGAATTGCATTATTTTTTATTCATCTTTAACTTCCAACTTGGTGGAAAGAAATTTCCTAGGTCTGATACAGAATAATCTATACTTATTGTTAGTTGGCAATGGAAAAACCTGAAAGATGCCTATAGATCTTTCCCTCCTGCCAATGCAAACCAGAGGTGCAGGGCCTAACAGTGTATCTGCTTTCACCTTGCAGAGCTAAGCCAGCCTGGGAGCAGCTGAAGCCTTGCTTCATTTGGCACCTCTGCTTCCCCTTGTACCTCTTCTTGTCTCCTCAAACAGGCGTCAAAACTGTGCCCCTGAGCTATTTTGCTGGTTTAATACATTTTTCTTTGTCAAGCAGTTTTGAGTTGTTCTATTTTTTCCTCCCTGCACTATCAAAGACTGTCACTTCTTGCAAGATAGCTGAACAAGATCTTTGTATGTATCATGGAACATAAGTAATTTTCAAAAGTTCATTTCAGTGCCAAAAGACACACATACATGTTTCTAACCAAACCAAAAGCACCAGAACCTGCTGTTCCTTCAAGCTGTCTAAACTATTTGACTACTTTTATAAAGCTGTAAAGAATAATTGCTTTTAATAAATCAGGTCATTAGACACTCGCATTTTAAAATAATTTTCAATTTTGTCGTACTTCTAAATATTTGCCATACTTGAAAATATGTGTCCCCAAACTGTAAATACTTGTAGGTTTTGAAATGTACCGGCAAGTACATTTATACCACTGACTTTTGTCAGAGATAAGAAATTTAAAGGTTCTAATCCATTCAGCTTTTATGGCACCATACTGAGTTCATGGAGTCCAGTTATATGTACTTTTTTGTCAAAAAGAAAAGAAATAGGAGCTTGATGTCAAATTAAGTTTTCTAAATGTAAGAAAAAGTAGAATTTCATTTTCAGTGAGCTTTGAGGATTTTTTTCTATTTAATAAAAGTGACTGTTTATATTGTGAGTAAGAAGTGTTAATATAATTTTCCCTTTCTTCAATACATCACTGTTTAGGAACTTATAGTGGGAGACCCAAGCCTAATGACCTCTTCTATTTGGACTGCATTGTGCCAATTCCCAATGAGTGCTCTAAAATAAAACAGTCTTGCTGGGGAACAGATACAATATGCTGAGCTTTTTGTCATAACCACTTGAACTACAGGTAAACATATGTTGACAACAATAAAGGAGCAAGACATAGCACCTTCCTAGAGCAGAGCTGTAAATAACACATGATTCAATTTTTTTTCTTGTGCTGTGATCCCATTAATGTTTGCTTATGTTACAAGGTGGTAATGTTCCAACAGTTAATATGGGAAAGACCTATAGATTTTGCTTGCATGGTCTCTGCTCACAAGTGCAGTATCTTCATCTGAACACCCACTCAGCACCGGAGAGGAAGTAAAGTGTAGGATCTCTTACCTCTAACTGCATGAATCAGCTTAGGCTATGCAAATAATTGATTATGACATCAAACTGTAGGCTTTCCTTGTTCCACAGGGAAAGTCTGGGTCTCTAGAACAAAACCTTAGGTACATCTGTGATTTTAAAAGTCATTGGTATTACTCTAAAACCAAGTAAAACCCATACTGAACACAGCTTCAACATGAAGAAGGAATTTCATTTACACAAAAGAAATAAACATTTCCTGTCTTATCTAACAGAGGGAGACCATAAAGACATTACGCTATAATAAATCAAGATCATTTTTTAAATAGCAAACAAATTTGTCCTGTAGCACACCTTTTGATGGTGTCTTACATTAAGTGAAGAGTTACCCATTTAGATTTCAACAGAAGTTATTTGTCTTATACGAAGGGGTAGAGAAGAAAGTGCTGTCTATCTTCTGTAAGGCAGCTCAGGAACACGTCAGACTGCCTGCTAAATCAGTACAGGCACAACTGGAGTTTGAGTATTTCACTATATAATCTATAACATTTTTGAGCTGGTAGAAAAGTGAGACAATTTTAGCTACATTCTGCTGATGAATTAACATACTTAAGTGTAGTTTGCAAATAACTTTCCCAGCAATATTGAGTAATCAATCTTGACAATACAGTTCGATACTTTTCATTTTGTTAGCGCTGTTGGGAGAAAATAATAATTTTAAATTTTGAATTAACTGTCCCAGAACAATTCAAAATTCCTTTTAAAATTTACTGCAAATTGTTAAATTTTTAACATTACTTGCAGGATTCAGTAAAACCTTATTCTAAAATAAGACAGTGTGGCAATCATTCTCTCTGGGGAAGAAAAAAAAGCCCTCCATAATGAGAGGGAATGTGTCTCACCAAACTTTACCAATTGAAACAGGAATAAAATTGAAACAGGAATAAAACTTGGGGAAGAAAAAAAAGCACTCCATAATGAGAGGGAATACTCCTCACCAAACTTTACGAATTGAAACAGGAATCAAATTTGAAAAATTAAATTAATAGAGGCAGACTTAAAGAACTGCAATCCACAAATCTCCAAGCTGTTTAATCATTAGACTTCCTAGTTGTATAACTCACCTAAAGATAATTTCAACCAATCTAACTTCTCTAGATAGGTATCTTAGCTAGATATACGCACACACAAAATTAAACCAGAATATGCTTTGTCGTCGTAGTGTAAAGAAACATAGTTTATATTCCTGAGTCTTCAAAACATCTAT